AGCAAATACACGCTGTCTCAAAAGACTTTTTTGGCGACGACAACTATACTGCGTCGCAAAAAACAATTTTTGCGACGGTAGTCACCCCGTCGCAAAAACCTCTGTGTTATTTGCTAGGTTTTCTTGTAGTGATTGATGTTGCAGAGGCAAAGATGAAGGGTGAGATCGGCTCGAAGCAACGAGAAGAGCTAACAACACAAAATGCAGCGGAAATTGTCGCAAAGACAAAGATTATAGCGACAAAGAGGCAAGGAGAGGGAAAGGAGGAAGTAAAAGTGAAGATAGAGGTACAAATATTTAAGAACCAAAAGGCGGCTGATGTGGCGGACGCGAATGCTGAGTTGGCAACGAAGAAGGCGGGGTGGGCCCAGTTGGCCCAGCTGGCGGAGGTGAATCGGCTAAGGCGGTGGCATTGAGGGAGGCTGAGTTGTAGAGGGCGGTAGAAGAGAAGAACGCTTTGACTCAGTTGGAGAAGCTCAAGGCTGAGAATTTGAGCAAGGCTAGCGTGGAGTATGAAATTAAGGTAATTTAATTTAATGTTTTGATTTTATGTTTAATGCAGTTTAATGTTTGATTTAGTATGATTAATGTGATTTGATGCAATTTTATGTTAGGGGTTTTTAGGAAAAAAATTGAAATTTTTTATGGGAGATTTATTGGAAAATATTTTTTCAAGTGTTTGTATTTTAATTAATCCATAAGATATTCTTATATTCCAATAAGTCTTATTATTTGAACATTTAATCTACAAAATCCTAATTCTCATATTTAAAGTATTTTATGGATATTTTTACCCTTACAAATATTTTTTGAACGGTTAGCAATTTGGTGTGTGAAGGTTCACATTGATACTGTAAATATTCACATTGACAAGTTAACATTCAAACCACATTGATAGTGTAAAAAATAAATTTCGTATGTTGGGTAAGGGTATTTCTTATGTTGAGAAAGTCGCTTAGTTCCACAAAAACTCAAATTTCGCATCCACACACGTCTATAAATCAATCAAACAAACACATCCTCTATTCCAAATCTTCTCCATAAATCTTCCCCTATTCTAAATCTTCTCCATAAAAATTCTTCTTCATACGCCTAACACACACACACACACTCTCTCTCTCTCTCTCATTTTTCGTTCTCTCTAGAAATCAATCAAACCATGTATTTCATTGCCGGCCCATCAGAGGTCCTCGCCGTCACCGGCTGCGGAATCCCAGACATCAAGCTCGCCAAAAAGACGTGGATATGGCCGGGCCAAAGGTTCACCCGAGTCGACATCTCACCAGTCAACTACACCTTCGAAGTGCAGGCTATGAGCGTAGAGAAACTCCCATTCATACTTCCTGCTGTCTTCACGATCGGCCCCAGGGTTGACTGTGAAGAGAGCATGTTGAAGTACGCAAAGCTCATATCCCCACACGACATGCTCTCGAACCACATCACGGAGCTTGTGCAGGGAGTCATCGAGGGCGAGACTTGAGTTCTCGTTGCCTCGATAACTATGGAGTAGATCTTTAAGGGGACTAAGGAGTTTAAAAAGGAGGTTTTTGATAAGGTTCAACTTGAACTTGATCAGTTTGGGCTTCATATTTATAATGCTAATGTCAAGCAGTTGGATGAGGTAAGAGGACATGAGTATGTTTCTTATTATTATCCCTTCTAATAAAAGGACAAGTTGTATGTTAGGGGAAATTGAATAGTTGAGTTGGGCTAACGTGATTTTGCTTCCTCCTTGGTGCTAACCTAGCTGGGATTGTGGAGAGATAGCTTTGATGTTTTTGCACTTTCCTGTTTTTCATGTATTTTGGTGTTTGTACTTGCTCTTTTCATCAATAAAAGTTTCGTTTTTCTTTGCTGATCAAAAAAAAAAAAAATTGCGTTGGAATGCATGCCTAATAATTTGATGAAATCATCCTCGCAATTAAAAATTAATTGAGAATGTTTCCACACCTTAATGTTCACCCACTTATAATTAGGCTCTTTGGCCTGATAATTGTGTAGCAACACGCTGTGATGTGAGTTGGTAAATTCAAAATTTGATACCTTTTGTGTTTACTTATGGCTTTGATTTTATTTTTAAGTCAATTATTAGTTATTAAATTAACTCTTGGTACTTATGCCCACTTTAGTTCTTATCCTCAGTTTATGAGTCTTACGCAATTATATGGCAATGACAATTTTGCAATTATAAAACACAACTATATGTGTTTCGTTAAAGGACTACTGATCATCACATAATTCTGTATAAATTTTTTGTGTACAAAATCATTTTGTTGCTAAGGATTTGAAACTGATCAAAAGGTACAAGAAGCAAATTCAGAGCTGTACAAGAAGCAAATTCAGAGCTGTACAAGAAGCAGATAGAAGCAGAAGTAGTTCTCTTCGACGAGCAGAAAAAGGTAGAAGCACAGAAAGTAGGCGCCGATGCAGCCTTCTACACTTGCCAACAGGTGGCAGACAGCGAGCTCTACTTGAAGAAAAAAAAAAGATGAAGGCATCGCCGCCGTGGCAGAAGCCCAAGGCTTTTACTTGAGGAATCTCCTTAAAGAAGCCAATGGAAACTACGCGGCGGTCGGTGACTATATGATGATCAATAGTGGTATGTTCCAAGAGATAGCCAAGACTAACGCGCAAGCGGTGCAGCGGCTGCAACTCAAAATCAGTGTCTGGTCAGGTGCTAATAATGGTGGCGGTGAAGGTGGTGCTGGTGGCGGTGGAATGAAGGATGTTGCCGGAGTTTATAGCATGTTGCCGTCGTTGCTTCAGACTGTGCATGAGCAGACTGGGATGTTGCCACTAGCATGGTTGGGCACGTTGCCTAGTTCAAGTTAATTTATACCTCTTCTACACTGATTTTAGGTTCTCTAAGGTTTTCAAAACTTTATTCAGTCTATATGGTCTTTTTGCTTTATATTTTGAGGGATAGGTACATAAAAGTATACTGTAAATTTAAGTAATTCCTCAAGTAAAAGCCTTGGGCTTCTGCCACTGCGGCGATGCCTTCAGCTTCTTTTTTCTTCAAGTAGAGCTCGCCGTCAGCCACGTGTTGGCAAGTGCAGAAGGCTGCATCGGCGCGTGCTTTCTGTGCTTCTGCCTTTTTTTGCTCATCGAAGAGAACTGCTTCTACTTCTTTCTGCTTCTTGTACAGCTCTGAATTTGCTTCTTGTACCTTTTGATCAGTTTCAAATCCTTAGCAACAAAATAATTTTGTACACAAAAAATTTATACAGAATTATGTGACGATCAGTAGTCCTTTAATGAAACACATATAGTTGTGTTTTATAATTGCAAAATTGTCATTGCCATATAATTGCGTAAGACTCATAAACTAAGGATAAGTACCAAGAGTTAATTTAATAACTAATAATTGACTTAAAAATAAAATCAAAGCCATAAGTAAACACAAAAGGTATCAAATTTTGAATTTACCAACTCACATCATAGCGTGTTGCTACACAATTATCAGGCCAAAGAGCCTAATTATAAGTAGGTGAACATTAAGGTGTGGAAACATTCTCAATTAATTTTTAATTGCGACGATGATTTCATCAAATTATTAGGCATGCATTCCAACGTAACTATTTTATTTTTTTTATTTTTTTGATCAGCAAAGAAAAAGGAAACTTTTATTGATGAAAAGAGCAAGTACAAGCACCAAAATACATGAAAAAAGAGGAAAGTGCAAAAACATCAAAGCTATCTTTACACAATCCCAGCTAGGTTGGCACCAAGGAGGAAGCACAATCACGTTAGCCCAACTCAACTATTCAATTTCCCCTAACATACAACTTGTCCTTTTATTAGAAGGGATAATAATAAGAAACATACTCATGTCCTCTCACATCATCCAACTGCTTAACATTTGTATTATAAATATGAAGCCCAAACTGTTCAAGTTCAAGTTGAACCTTATCGAAAACCTCCTTCTTAAACTCCTTAGTCCCCTTAAAGATCTACTTCATAGTCATCGAGGCAGCGAGAACTCGAGTCTCGCCCTCGATGACTCCATGCACAAGCTCCGTGACGTTGTTCGAGAGCATGTCGTGTGGGGATATGAGCTTTGCGTACTTCAACATGCTCTCTTCACAGTTGACCCTGGGGCCGATCGTGAAGACAACATGAAGTATGAATGGGAGTTTCTCTGTGCTCATAGCCTAAACTTCGAAGGTGTAGTTGACTGGTGAGATGTTAACTCGGGTGAACTTTTGGCCCGGCCATATCCACGTCTTTTTGGCAAACTTGATGTCTGGGATTCCGTAGTCGGTGACGGCGAGGACCTCTAATGGGCCAGCGATGAAATACATGGTTTGATTGATTTCTAGAGAGAATGAAAAAATGAGAGAGAGAGAGAGAGAGAGAGAGAGAGTGAGAGAGAGAGAGAGAGTGTGTGTGTGTGTGTGTGTGTTAGGCGTATGAAAAAGAATTTTTATGGAGAAGATTTGGAATAGGGGAAGATTTATGGAGATGATTTGGAATAGAGGATGTGTTTGTTTGATTGATTTATAGACGTGTGTGGATGCGAAATTTGAGTTTTTGTGGAACTAAGCGACTTTCTCAACATAAGAAATACCCTTACCCAACATACGAAATTTATTTTTTACACTATCAATGTGGTGTGAATGTTAACTTGTCAATGTGAATATTTACACTATCAATGTGAACCTTCACACACCAAATTGCTAACCGTTCAAAAAATATTTGTAAGGGTAAAAATATCCATAAAATACTTTAAATATGAGAATTAGGATTTTGTAGATTAAATGTTCAAATAATAAGACTTATTGGAATATAAGAATATCTTATGGATTAAATAAAATACAAACACTTGAAAAAGGATTTTCCAATAAATCTCCCATGTTAGAAGCTGCAAGATCACTACTTGTAGGATCTAAAAGTTGTTCTTCTTCATGTGGTGAGATCTAAAATATCACCTACCCTTTTTGCTTAAAGGGCGATCCAATTATCTGTGGCGACCTTGACTACAAACTTTTCTGTGAATTATTATTATTATTTTTATATAAATAAATTAACTTAACAATATGACGTTAAGAAGAAGAGAAGACAGATATGAAGGCTGCAAAAGGTCATTTGTTTCAAGAAATTAAAAACCTGCAATGCTCCCATGCCTGCATTTCCAAGAGTCCACATGGATGGCGCTGCTGCTAATGCATTAGCTAATGCTTTTCTGCACATAGAGAAGAACCAAAATATCAAAAAATTCAAAACAATCATATCAAAATTCAAAAAAGAAATTAATAACCTAAAGTGGAAAAAAAATTAATAAAATCAAAATTCAGATCTACTCTTTCATATCAAAATTCAAGTTTCTTATTAATTCAAAAAATAAATGTCCTAGTTTCTTTTCATCCTGAAGGCACGATGCAACTAATGATGAGATTAATAAATGAAAATAAAATTTGTTGCTAAAAACAGTGATGATAATATTAATTTAAAAGAAAATCGTAAACTAAAAATATATTGAACAATTTAATTCCTAATAGAAGCCAAACATCGTATTAAAAAATATTAATGAGTTAACATTGTGCACTGAAATACTATGAACAACAACTGATAAAAAATTTTAAAAAAAAATCAAATAACTCCAACTATCCATTTGGTTTGCTCAGATGAACACACCATGAAATTAGATCAAGGGACTGGAATTTAAAAAACAAAAAATAAAAAAAATAATTAAAAAAAAAACCCACCGTGAATGGAGTAATCATGATCATTAAATATTTTTTGAAAACAAAATTAATGGTCAAACAAATACAAATTCAACCCAATAAAAACAAAGAAAAATAAATAAAATAAAATCCACTACACCTAGTATATCAGAAACATAAGAAAAGGTAAAACAATAAAACAAGGACCACAACAACATCCATCCATCAATGTAACTGAAGAGAGTGAATATCCTCTGTCCAAAAAAGAAAAGAAAAAAGCAAACAATACAGCTGTGCAAAAATAAAAAATAAAATAAAATAATTTAAAAAGTTGAGTGTACCTTTGTAGAATCCACCCCTCCTTTAGTCCCACAGGTCTGTGAGCTTTGGATCTAATGAATAAATGGAGAAGATGACCATGGAGCTTTTAGGGTATTCTTTACGCTGTTTCCACCATTGTTGTGGGACAAGAAATTCATCAAAAAAGGGAAAAATAGAACTTGAAAGATAAAATACATATTCTCACACACATAAATAAGCACAAACCTAGTGATTACAAACTTTCTTCCCAAGTTTTTGAATTAATTTTTATGAACACAAACACAAATGTAGCATAAGTGACAAAATTGGAGCTGATATGTACAAACAAATCTAGCAATTTTATCACTTCAAACAACTCAAACGCAGATTAATAAAGCTTAACACATATCAAGATACAGAAACAAAAACGATGATAAACAAAAAAATCAATTTAAACCCACAAAACCTCAATTCCACCAACAAACAACAATTTATCCAACTAAAATTTAAAATAAAAAAACTTGAAGCATATATATACATATATCTATATCTATATACATCACATTCAAACAAATGGGTTGAGTTTGAAATGCAATAGAATCAAGATGAAATCAAACCCATTTTCAGATTTCAGATTTCAGATATCAAATCCATTTCAAAAAACCAATTCCATATGCACAAAATCACAAAAATGACCCTTCAAATGAAATGCTGAAAAAGTCAGACATGACACTATTGTACATACTCACCCAAAAAATGACACTGTTGTACAAAGAATAAACATTTCAAGAAATGGTGATAGAAATCTTTGGATTTGAGGCTTGTTTTGATCTCTTATCCTGATCCAAAGTATACCATTTTTCCTCTTTTTATTGTTATTGACATGTTTTTTTTACAAAAACAGTTATTTGTTTTAAGAGTCTTACACCCAAGACTATGTAGCCCAATTTGTGATCTAGCAAACCTTGGAGTATACAAAATCTAAGGTAAATTTACATGATCATTTCTGCAAACAAAACAGACCACATGGAGGATGACTCAACCAGAGCAAATTAGCTCACCACTTGATCTAAAATCTTTTTTTGTATGCATCTATGCCCCAATCCACAGAATATACTCTATACTAACTATTATACAAAATGTGTTATTAATTAGTCAATAAAAACAAATAATCAAAAAGAGAAACAATCAGTGTTGATTATTGTCATTGTTCTCTTCAAACCCTTTGCACACAATAAAAACATCATTTGACAATTTTTTTTTAAAAAAAAATAAAATAAATAAACCAATAATTTCTTCCATAGTTCTAATTAGGCAACCACCAAACAATAAACCATGAACCACAAAATAGGCAACCACCAAACACCAAACAATAAACCAGAAACAAAAACGATGATAAACAAAAACATCGATTTAAACCATTACCTCAATTCCACCAACAAACATGGAGGATGACTCAACCAGAGCAAGTTTGCTCCACCAATTGATCTCAAATCTTCTTTGTATGTATCTATGCCCCAATCCACAGAATTTAAAGTTAATTTCTACTAAAATGAAAATGTGTATGAGAATATAAGTTGAAGAGTTTTCCGAAGAGAGAGAATGGACAAAAATAATGCATTAGCTAATGCTTTTCTGTACATAGAGAAGAAACTAATAAAATCAAAATAAAATTAATATTTTCTAATAATTTAGAGATGTCCTTGTAAATAACTTATATATTATCAGATACTATGTAGCCCAATTTGTGATCTAGCAAACCTTGAAGTATACAAAAACATGATCATTTCTGCAAACAAAACAGACCACATGGAGGATGACTCAACCAGAGCAAGTTGGCTCTACCACTTGATCTAAAATCTTCTTTGTATGTATCTATGCCCTAATCCACATAATATACTCTATACTAACTATTATACAAAATGTGTTATTAATCAGTCAATAAAAACAAATAATAAAAAAGAGAAACAATAAGTGTTGATTATTGTCATTGTTCTCTTCAAACCCTGTGCACACAATAAAAACATCATTTGACAAAATTTTTAAAAAAAAAACCCAATACTTTCTGCCATAGTTCTAATTAGGCAACCACCAAACAATAAACCAGAAACAAAAACGATGATAAACAAAAACATCGATTTAAACCATTACCTCAATTCCACCAACAAACATCGATTTACTTGAAGCATAGAGAAGCATAGGGAGAAAGAGAGAAAGAGGGAGAGAGGTACTGGAGAGCTCCCATGGGGGTTCGAAGCAGAGAGAGAAAAAGAAGACAACGACGTCAATGTAGAATTTGAGGAAGTTGATGATGATGACAGTGGCTGTGGTGGTGGAAACCCTAGCCTTCGGTGACCCAATCGAAGCACAGTGTCGCGATTCACAATCGGAAACCCTACCTTGCGAGTGGGAGGGTTGCGACTTCAAGCCACTGAGAGAGAAGGGGGGGAAAGGCAAAAATCGAGTGCAAGAGGGAGGGTAGGAAAGAAAAATAGAGAGGGAGAGAGAGACAAAGAGGGAATGGGAGGAGACGTGTAACAGAGAGGGAGAGGGAGAGAGAGAGAGAGAGATAAAGAGGGAATGGGGAAGGAGACGTGGGTAGGTGGGAGAGGGAGAGTGTTTGAGCGGGAAGAAAATTGATGCCAACCGTGAGATATTAATTAGGATTGATCTGAGCCCTTAAAATGAAATGTATCTCTGATATTAATTAGAAAATATTGTTCTAATGCTATATCCTACGAAGAACAAAATATTTATCTTAAAATTAGAATAAATAACACAAAGAACAAAGAGATTATCATTATGTTTAGGGACAAAGTTTAAAACATTAACCAGCTTTTAGGAAGACTTGTCTCAATTTATGGGCGATACTACATTTTCTCCTAGCAAAGGAACAATAAGGAGGATGTGCTCCTAGTAGTACTTGATCTACCCACTTGGAGTAAATGATCTTTGACAAAATCCTAGAATCCAAAAATTGACTCAACAAAAGCAACTAACTTCAAGCAACTAACTCTGTCCTATTGTCAAGCTGCCAATTGGCCACATAAATATATATTTAGTACAACTCTCTACATAAGAACCCCAAAATCATAAAGAAATAACAAACATCACATGAAATAAAATGATCAAATTAGAGATTAAAATCCCTAATGTATATATGTAATGACAAATTAGATTGATAGTGCATATGGTTGGAAACAAAGAGTTGAAAAAAAAAAGGAAACAAAAATAGAAATTACTATAGAACTTATCTTAGCTTCGTGTCGTCGGTTGATCTCACTCCACTTGTCTGCACACATACACTATCACACAATGGTTTCTCTTTTTAATAGACAATGGCATTGTCAAATGAAAAAAAATAACAACGAAAATGAGTAAGCTTAACAATGTATCAATCGGGGACCCAATTACCATGGGTCCATTACCGCCATGGGTCTTCTCAATTATTGTAACTAATGCTTTCCTTTTAGCAAAACCAACTAAAATTTAAGTGTGAGAGTGAAATCTAACAAACAATCAAAGTAAAATACCTTTTCGGAGTCTAGTTGAAGATTGACAACGGTTGAGTACTAAGTAGGCATCACTCTAAGCCAATCTACTACCACCGATTGGTACCAAAATGTATTGATTCCAGACTTAAAAAAACAAAAACAAAAAGAAGAAGAAGAAGCTACCAAAAGGAACAGTTAAGAAACAACATCACTACTCTAGAAGTGATAAAGATAAGAACATGATCATAACTTCATATTAGATACTAACCTTATTGAATACCCAAATTTCACCATTAACAGTTGATTTTGGTACACCATGTCCATTATAATGGAAGAGAACTCTATCAGAATTGGCATTCAAGCTCATAATGTGCCTACTTACATGTCATGAAGAATAAGTTAAAACATTATTTGATATTAAATTTATACATAGAAATAATAAAAAAAAAAATCTCACTTTGAGTTGTCATCGTTTATATTGGAAGAAGTAAAATGACATAAATACTTTCATAACATTAAACCTTTACTCATAAGAAATAAATCTAAGTGACTCTAGCCATCATCAAATGCACAACCAATTTGACAACTGGTGCCACAACTTGAAAAGCAAATTAAACAGAGAATAAAAAGACACATGTTATGTAGTCAATTGTAGACCACAAAAAATTCAACAGGTCAAAGTAGATACACCCATAAAACAAACATTTCAAACTAATATCATAAATTAAAACCCATTTCATAAATCAAAAGCTTTTCAAAACCATAGGAAATCAACACCCATTTCCCATTAAAGAATCAAACCCATTTCATAAATCAAAACCATGTCAGAAATCAAACTGAACATAAAAAATTCATTTCTGAAATCAAAACCCATTTAAAAAATGAAACCCATTTCATGAAGATCAAGTATTATTTCACACCCAAAACCTTTTACAAAATTAAATCCATTTAAGAATTTCAAAAATCAAAACTCATTTCTCATTTCAAAATCAAACCCATGTCAGAAGCTAAACTATAAATAGAAATCCACACAATGACCAACCTAACCAAACACCCACAGACGTCAAAAAGGTTTATGGTTTAAACACCAATGCACAATTCACAAAAATAAATGATCTGAGACTCAACAAAATGAAAAAATTTCCAAAATCCAGATTTGACAAAAATAACCAGATTAAAAAATATTCAGATTCAACTTTACAAACTCATAAAAGTATCTAGATTCAAGTAATCAGAAACAACCAAACCCACAAAAATATCATGAATTGCAAAGGTTGGAAGTTCTAGATTCAAGCACAAACCAAAAAAAAACCCCAATTTTAATTCATATTTCCAGCCACTTTTCTTTTCTCTCCAAAAATCACTCTCCAAATCCAAGATTCAAGCACAAACCAAAAAAAAACCCCAATTTTAATTCATATTTCCAGCCACTTTTCTTTTCTCTCCAAAAATCACTCTCCAAATCCAAGATTCAAGCACAAACCAAAAAAAAACCCCAATTTTAATTCATATTTCCAGCCACTTTTCTTTTCTCTCCAAAAATCACTCTCCAAATCCAAGATTCAAGCACAAACCAAAAAAAAACCCCAATTTTAATTCATATTTCCAGCCACTTTTCTTTTCTCTCCAAAAATCACTCTCCAAATCCAAGATTCAAGCACAAACCAAAAAAAAACCCCAATTTTAATTCATATTTCCAGCCACTTTTCTTTTCTCTCCAAAAATCACTCTCCAAATCCAAGATTCAAGCACAAACCAAAAAAAAACCCCAATTTTAATTCATATTTCCAGCCACTTTTCTTTTCTCTCCAAAAATCACTCTCCAAATCCAAGATTCAAGCACAAACCAAAAAAAAACCCCAATTTTAATTCATATTTCCAGCCACTTTTCTTTTCTCTCCAAAAATCACTCTCCAAATCCAAGATTCAAGCACAAACCAAAAAAAAACCCCAATTTTAATTCATATTTCCAGCCACTTTTCTTTTCTCTCCAAAAATCACTCTCCAAATCCAAGATTCAAGCACAAACCAAAAAAAAACCCCAATTTTAATTCATATTTCCAGCCACTTTTCTTTTCTCTCCAAAAATCACTCTCCAAATCCAAGATTCAAGCACAAACCAAAAAAAAACCCCAATTTTAATTCATATTTCCAGCCACTTTCCTTTTCTCTCCACAAATCACTCTCCAAATCCAAGATTCAAGCACAAACCAAAAAAAAATCCAATTTTAATTTTTCTAATTATACCACTACCTTCAATTTCTAAAACTCCTACCTTCAATTTCCAAAAAAAAACCCCAATTTTAACTTTTCACTACCTTTAATTATTCCACTACCTTCAATTTCTAAAACTCCCAAAACTTTTGCATAAATACACATATGTAAACAAAAAAAAATCCTAAATACACAATCCCCACAATACATATCTATCAATATGTATACCAAACAATCAAAATACACAAGCAGACATTCAAATACCCTATGAGAGATTGATCTGATTCAGTGGGGGAAAAAACTAAGAACTTAACTAATTAAAATACCTGTTTGGGATCTCTTTGAATATTGACAACGACGGAGTATCGATCTCTCTAGAGCCGGTGGTGGTCCAATGAAATCTCCCATTTTGCAATGGCTCCTTTCGAAATCTCTCCTATGGGCTGAAAAGGTTGTGTCGATTGTGGTGGAATATGGAGTTTGGCCTGCCACTGTTGATGAAGATTGAGATGGCAGAAAGGGGGAGGAAGGAAAAGAGAAAGAAGAAACGAATTGGAGAGAGAGAATGAAAGAGTATTGACTGAATCAGAGCGAGGGAGGAAGAAGAAACGAATAGGGATTATGGTTGAGTATCCCACACAGGATGGGCTCTGATGGAGGTATAGAGAGAGAGAGAGAGAGAGAGA